TCCAGAAGAACAAACTTTTTTTTTAATTATAAAATGACAATCGGTCCGTAAAACCTTTTCTCAACAACAAGAAATATGCGTTAAATTCAAATGACATATTAAGTTAGTTAAATAATTGTTTTGCAAATTTTTATTTTACAACACATTTACCTTTTTCATGACCCAAAATATAATCGAAAGTTGACATAACCAATACTTTTATTCAAATTAGGCAAACCACTGTATTGCTGTTTGTCATCAAAGGGTTTTTATGCTATTTATCTATTATTCTCTGATGCCTGTTTAATAATTGATTTATATTTTAATGATTCATGCACTTTTATAGTCTCTTACAAAACCTATTTATACCACAAAGTCAACCTCGTTATCTCTTTTATCAAACCGCTCCGTTTATTACAATATCAATTAAAACAGAATTGATGTTTGTCGCAGTATACCATTAAAATATAAATCATGAGAAATGACATCTGTAGTAAAAGTTAAATTGTGTGTCACTTATTTGCTTTTTTCTAACTACGCACATTTCTTAAATATTATGTCTGAATGGATAACAGATTAGTAACCCTCTACGCCATCATCATCATCATCATCATCATCATCATCATCATAATAATAATGATAATAACAAAATAATGATAACAAAATAATACCATCATCATCAGCGGCAGCATCATAAATTTATCATCATCATTATTGTCATGATGTCATCATCTTCATAAAAAAAAGCTATCACTATATAAACAAAAATATATAACTTTTTATTAAATTTTAAAGTATTAAAGTATTAAAGTATCTGTTACACATATTTTTTTTGAAACCCAATTAATGTTTAACTATCTCGCTTTTTGTATTTAATTTTAATATGTGGGGTAAATTTGATTTTTGATGAAAATAAAAGATTATTAGCATTATGTATACTTTCTTTTTATCGTTAAAGTGTGTAAAGCTATATCTCTGATGCAAAAAAACATTGTTTGGATTTTAAAAAAGAGTACTTCCAAAATGTTTGTATGAAATAAAAATGGCATTTAATTGCCTTAACCCTTTCCCCCATGAGCATATCGTGAAAAATGGCCATTTTAACTGAAAAGCCTCCTCTTACAAGTTCAAACTGCTATGAAACTATGAAAAATGCTTCAATACTAATCAAACTTGGCACAAATGTTGACTGGACCATTGCCTTTGTAACGACATGCTCAGTCTTAAATTTCCTGTTACCATGGCAACGAGGGGACATCTCAAAATTGCCAAAAATCACTATTTTGCCTCGATTTTTTCCATCAAAATTTATTTCAAAGTGCTGCAACTTCTCAATGGATTGAGATAGAGTCAAAGGCTTTTCAGCGTTGGTTACACGTTACTTTATGATCAACCTGGGGTCATTTTAAGCCTCTCACAAGTCCAAAATTTTCTTGGCGATGGGGGACTCCGCCCCCCTTCAAACCCCCCAAACAGAAGGGGGCACATCCCCCTTCTGGCAACCCCCTGATGTATTATTTGGATGGGGGACGGCGCCGAAAAAATGGTCACTTTTTTTAACAACATTTCTCAAACGAAAAACAGTGTTTGGGGTCTAAATAGGACATTTTTTCACTGTTTGAGGCCTCAAAAGGGGGGGGGGGGCAAAAAGCCGTCGAAACACGCTTATATAAGGGAAAAGGTTAACAAAAAATGATGAAAAACCTTGGAATCACCCAAAATCTAGTTTTTCCATGTAAACATGTGCTCTTTTACCTAATTTTGGTGAAAAATTGTTGTTTTGTAACATTTATATTTTTTTAGTTAACCCTTTCCCCCATGAGCATATCGTGAAAAATGGCCATTTTAACTGAAAAGCCTCCTCTTACAAGTTCAAACTGCTATGAAACTATGAAAAATGCTTCAATACTAATCAAACTTGGCACAAATGTTGACTGGACCATTGCCTTTGTAACGACATGCTCAGTCTTAAATTTCCTGTTACCATGGCAACGAGGGGACATCTCAAAATTGCCAAAAATCACTATTTTGCCTCGATTTTTTCCATCAAAATTTATTTCAAAGTGCTTGCAACTTCTCAATGGATTGAGATAGAGTCAAAGGCTTTTCAGCGTTGGTTACACGTTACTTTATGATCAACCTGGGGTCATTTTAAGCCTCTCACAAGTCCAAAATTTTCTTGGCGATGAGGGGGACTCCGCCCCCCTTCAAACCCCCCAAACAGAAGGGGGCACATCCCCCTTCTGGCAACCCCTGATGTATTATTTGGATGGGGGACGGCGCCGAAAAAATGGTCACTTTTTTTAACAACATTTCTCCAACGAAAAATAGTGTTTGGGGTCTAAATAGGGCATTTTTTCACTGTTTGAGGCCCCAAAAGGGGGGGGGGGCAAAAAGCCGTCGAAACACGCTTATATAAGGGAAAAGGTTAACAAAAAATGATGAAAAACCTTGGAATCACCCAAAATCTAGTTTTTCCATGTAAACATGTGCTCTTTTACCTAATTTTGGTGAAAAATTGTTGTTTTGTAACATTTATATTTTTTTAGTTAACCCTTTCCCCCATGAGCATATCGTGAAAAATGGCCATTTTAACTGAAAAGCCTCCTCTTACAAGTTCAAACTGCTATGAAACTATGAAAAATGCTTCAATACTAATCAAACTTGGCACAAATGTTGACTGGACCATTGCCTTTGTAACGACATGCTCAGTCTTAAATTTCCTGTTACCATGGCAACGAGGGGACATCTCAAAATTGCCAAAAATCACTATTTTGCCTCGATTTTTTCCATCAAAATTTATTTCAAAGTGCTGCAACTTCTCAATGGATTGAGATAGAGTCAAAGGCTTTTCAGCGTTGGTTACACGTTACTTTATGATCAACCTGGGGTCATTTTAAGCCTCTCACAAGTCCAAAATTTTCTTGGCGATGAGGGGGACTCCGCCCCCCTTCAAACCCCCCCAAACAGAAGGGGGCACATCCCCCTTCTGGCAACCCCCTGATGTATTATTTGGATGGGGGACGGCGCCGAAAAAATGGTCACTTTTTTTAACAACATTTCTCAAACGAAAAACAGTGTTTGGGGTCTAAATAGGACATTTTTTCACTGTTTGAGGCCTCAAAAGGGGGGGGGGGGCAAAAAGCCGTCGAAACACGCTTATATAAGGGAAAAGGTTAACAAAAAATGATGAAAAACCTTGGAATCACCCAAAATCTAGTTTTTCCATGTAAACATGTGCTCTTTTACCTAATTTTGGTGAAAAATTGTTGTTTTGTAACATTTATATTTTTTTAGTTAACCCTTTCCCCCATGAGCATATCGTGAAAAATGGCCATTTTAACTGAAAAGCCTCCTCTTACAAGTTCAAACTGCTATGAAACTATGAAAAATGCTTCAATACTAATCAAACTTGGCACAAATGTTGACTGGACCATTGCCTTTGTAACGACATGCTCAGTCTTAAATTTCCTGTTACCATGGCAACGAGGGGACATCTCAAAATTGCCAAAAATCACTATTTTGCCTCGATTTTTTCCATCAAAATTTATTTCAAAGTGCTGCAACTTCTCAATGGATTGAGATAGAGTCAAAGGCTTTTCAGCGTTGGTTACACGTTACTTTATGATCAACCTGGGGTCATTTTAAGCCTCTCACAAGTCCAAAATTTTCTTGGCGATGAGGGGGACTCCGCCCCCCTTCAAACCCCCCAAACAGAAGGGGGCACATCCCCTTCTGGCAACCCCCTGATGTATTATTTGGATGGGGGACGGCGCCGAAAAAATGGTCACTTTTTTTAACAACATTTCTCAAACGAAAAACAGTGTTTGGGGTCTAAATAGGACATTTTTTCACTGTTTGAGGCCTCAAAAGGGGGGGGGGGGCAAAAAGCCGTCGAAACACGCTTATATAAGGGAAAAGGTTAAAGCGAGTGGTACATGCATAAAATCATTGCTAAACGGATAAAACCTACTTTAAATAGCAAAATAATATTTTGTGTCGGAACATATTATTCTGTTTATTCGAGACATTCTATGTTACAACTTTTTTGGGAACCAGCCATATAATAGTGGCACCAATATAGTTTTCCTGTTGATAAATTTTATGAAAATATTTCATAAGATAAAGATTTATACCCTTTAATAAATAAAGTAGATAAAGATAACACTGAATTATGGTACAAGTTCGAATAGATACCTCAGAAAAAATAGATACATTTAAAACGAGATAAGAGTACCGACAAATTCAATAATATAAGTAAGTATATGTCGATATTTTCGTGAAAGATGTTACATATATAGAATATGATAGGATTGCAAATCCGAAATGCACAAATATTTTATAGAAACAATGTCAAACATAGATACATATTGCCTATATGCAGGTATAAACCTTTAATGAATATGTTATAATGAGCTCTATTGAAAGATGGGGATTGATAAAATACATGACAATTAGCCTAACTGTGTCAAGAATAGTAAGATGAATATAAAAATAGAACTTTATATACAATTAACCCTTACTACGATAAATGGACTTGCTCATCATTCAATCTGGACATAACCATTCATCATTTTTAGGGGCAATTGAAAATATATATACTGAGTAAATAGCGAACAATGCAGACTGTATCTAGACGGCACATATGTGCCGGCTGATGTTGGTCAGAACTGGTCGCATGGGAAGAGTCTAATGTTGACAACAGGGTAAAGGTTGAGATGATTGTCAATATGACAGTTGCATTTTATTTTAAATAAATGTAATTAATGATAACATTCATGTTACTTACATTTATTTAAAACATATTCTATTGATAACAAATGTAATTAGAATTATATTGTTTTGTTATCTAAGCATTAAATCTGACATGAAGTTAAAAAGAATAAAATAATCTTCAAAATAATAAAATACAATTTGAAAATGAAGCTTGTGAAAAAATACTGTTGCTAGTGCAATTTTACAACTAAATTATATCATTATATTTTTAATAAAAAAGATATCATTATATTTCAATTACTTACAAATATCAAACGAAATGTGTGTGAATATTCCATGAATAATTTCAGATATAATCCTTGTCTCTTTTTGTTATCTATGTCATCTCCACAAATTATTTAAATCACATATCACTTTACAAGAGCGTTCAATTATGAAGCTGACTTTCATTCCGAGAATCTAGTTTGAAAAATCGATCCTGATTGGTCCAGCGGTTCGTGGCACGTGACTTTCCTCACTAATGAACTGACAGTGTTTATGATTTGATTAATGTATACAAACAATCGTACTGTTACTGAATCGCCTCTTGTTAAAAGCTATCAGTATTATGATATTCTGAAAGAGGCTTAAATGTTTATGTTTGCATTGTCCGCAATATTGATATAGGACGAAACAGAGCGATTCTTTTGTAGTGGAAATAATCGGTTATTTTGAAAGGTATAACATCACGCGGTAAAATAAATAACTTTCGACATTTCTAACGTCAGCGTGTTTACATAACTTACTGCTAAATATACAGCGCTATTTGCATTAGCTGTTTGAAAATGTTATTTAAACCATACATTTAACTTTTTCAATCAAAATCTGACCGTTTACCATTATAAAGCTAAAATCTGTTAAAAGTTTATACATACAAATATCAATTCAAGAATCTCTTTTAAGACTTACATATTTGTTCTTTGCAAAATGACCTTAAAATTGTATGAAGAGTTTAATATAGCTCTTTCAGCATGCTTCAAATATAACATCTTATAAAGATAGGTCACGTGATTTCAAGTGTAAACAGATATTTTTGGCGGAGAAAAAAATATTTTAAAAATGTGAAATGTATATGGATAAAAATGATTTAATATGTTATATCTTTTAATGGATACTTAAGTGTTGAGTGTTAAAAATGCTCGATGGGTAGAAAACAAAAGAATAAGCGTAAAAAGAGTGATAACAGTGACAATAATGACAGTATATGTAAGGCGGGAAGATATGCAACTTCGCCAGAGCAGGTTTGTGTCAGTAGTATTCTAAAAACGGCGAATTCTGTGCTATTTAATGACAGAAGTGATACAGAAGATAGTTTAAATCAGAGTAGAGACAGTGTGATAAATGAAAAATCGTCAATTAACGGAAATATGGCAACAGTGCATACCCCACCCACTAATACGGGACATGATATAAATGCTATTGGTGAAACATGTTCGCCCACAAATGCAGATTTGTTAATTTATTTGAAAAAGATAGATGAAAAAAATTTGTAAAATGGAAAAAAAGTTAGATAAACTAGATGTTCTGGAGCAAAAAGTAAATAATTTTGAAAAAAAATAAACAAAGTGTGGACAAATATCCAAGACCAAAATAAAAAAATTGAAGAAAGATTCATGGTTGTTGAGGAAAAGGCAGAAAGTTCCGATTTCAATTTAGGCCTAATGAATGATAAACTAATTTCAATGCAAAGAGACAACAATGCTCTAAAAGATGATATTGTATATTTACAACCGCAGTCAATGCGGAATAACCTAGTATTTGCGAACTCCGACGAAAGCCCGTCAGGGGTACTGGAAAATACGGAGCAAAAGTTAAGAGATTTTTGGAGCAATCTATAAAGATAGCTAAAGAGCAGGTGGAGAGGATGGCGTTTGAGAGAGGACATCGGATGTGGAATAAAATATCAGGTAGAACAAGAAATATCGTTGCAAAATTTACATAATTCAAAGAAAGAGAATTAGTTCGAAAACAATGGAAAACTTGAGATAAAGCCAAAAATTAAGTTCATGGACAATTCTCCTAGGAAATTATTGCTAAGAGGCGAAAATTGGTGCCAAAGATGAAGGAAGCGAAGCGGAACGGTCATAATGCTTGGATCTCATATGATACTTTATATGTAAACGGAAAGGCGCAGCGCGATGAACGAAGCTAGGACCACGAAGGGGGTGGTTTGAACGTGTTGGCGTGGAACGTTAACGGACTGACGAACGTGAAAAAAGAATGTCAAGGATTTGTAGATATTATTGACAAAAATGATGTGATATTTTTGTTTGAAGCGTGGACAAATTCTAAAAGTATTGTAGATATTGAAGGTTATGTATCATATAATTTTTATCGAAAATATCAGCATCGAAATGCTAAAAGATGTAGCGGAGGCGTTGTTATTTATGTTAAAGACAATTTAAAATAAGGTATTTCAGTTTTTTGAAATAATCACGATTCTGTAATCTGGTTAAAGATAGATAAGTTTTTTTTTAATATAGAAAATGATATATATTTGTGTGGGGTTTACATGTGGCCTGAAGGATCACCATTTTATAATGTATATAACTTAGATTTATTTGATGAAATTCAGAATGATATTTGTGAGTTTGAAAATGAAGGGTCTGTGTTTTTGATCGGCGATTGAAATAGTCGGGTAGGTCTTAAGGCGGATTATATTATATGTGATACTGCTATTAAGTCTATAGATAATGATGATTATATTCCCGATATATCCTCCGTCAGGGCCTCCTGTGATAAAACGTGTAATTCTAACGGAATAAAACTTCTTGACTTATGCAAATCTACGTGCTGTCGAATAGCTAACGGTCGGATCAGTAATGACTATGGTATTGGTGCGTTTACATTTGTATCGCGTCAAGGGGCATCATTAATTGACTATCTACTCGCGAAAGAGCGTGATTTTGTAAATATTAGTGATTTCAAAGTACACGACTTCAATGAATGGAGCGACCATTGTCCGATTTCCGTTAATATAAACTGTAATGCAATGCCCGAGGAAGTAAATAATTCAGGATTTATGAAAATTAGATGGTCAGACGAATTTAAATCTGAATTTCGTTCAGGTATTATTGGTTGTTTACCGCAATTTAACCGATTAACGGAGGATATGTACATTCAAGATAGAGCTTCTGTAAATAACATTTTAAATGAATTCACCGATACGGTTCGTCAGGTAGCTGACCCTCTGTTTACACGTTATGTGTCAAATCGACGCGATGTACATTTTGTTGATAATCGAACCAATGATAAAGAATGGTTTGACCTTGAATGTAAACATGCAAGGCAAAGGTATATAGAAGCTCAGCGTGTCTTTAAAAGATGTAACTCTGACTATAGTAGAGAGCAGTTTTTGATGCTCAAAAGCAGATATAAACAAATAGTTAAGAAAAAGAAGAAAATATTTGAAATAAAAAAAGTATCTGATATCGAAAATTTACGTTTTCGAAGGCCTAAAGATTTTTGGAATTATTTTAAAGCTAAAAAAAAGAATAATGACATAGATATATCGCTTGAATCTTTTTACAAATATTTTTCAGAAGTAAGTAATGATATTTTTCAAAATGAAAATATTGAAGCAGAAGATTTTTCTACAAATCATAATTTTAACTCAAATTTAGAAAATGATGATAACACTGACGTTTTGAATAGTTCAATTACTATTAACGAAATTTTAATCGCTGTTAAATCTTTAAAGCGTGATAAATCCTGCGGAAACGATTTTTTGCTGAATGAATATTTTATTGAAACTGTAGATATACTGGCAGCGCATATATGTGATATTTTTAATTGTATTTTTGATAGCGGTTTTTTTCCTGAAAGATGGACTGAAGGGGTTATTGTACCATTGCACAAGAAAGGAGATAAAAACAATGTTAAAAATTATAGAGGCATTACTTTAGTAAGTTGTCTGTCGAAATTATTTACGACAATACTAAATAATAGAATTGTTAAATATTGTAATGAGAATAATACCATATCAGATGCGCAGTTTGGATTCAGAAAAGGCTATTCGACAACTGATGCCTTGTTTATTTTGCATAATTTGGTTCAAAAATATTTAAATGAAAATAAAAGATTATATTGTGTTTTTGTTGATTTAAAAATGGCATATGATTGTATATATAGAAATGCATTATGGCTTAAATTGTATAAGCATGGGGTTAACGGTAAAATTTTGAGAATAATTAAGGACATGTATGAAAAAGTAAAAATCATGTGTTCGGTCGTGTAATTCGTACTCTGAGTTTTTCAAATATGCTGTTGGTTTAAGACAAGGGGAGGTAATTTCACCAGTATTATTTTCACTATTTGTTGAAGACTTAGAGTTATTTTTGCAAGATGATATAAATTCAGGTGTAAATATTGATGATATTATTCTTATTCTACTTTTGTTTGCAGATGATATGGTTATTCTTGGGAAGACTCCGGATGAAATTAACACTAATCTTATATTACTTTCTGAGTATTGCAAACTATGGAGTCTTGAAGTCAATGTACAAAAAACCAAAGTTATGGTATTTCGCAAACGTGGGGGACTTAGAAATAATGAGACTTTTGTGTATAATGGGACAATTTTGGAAGTTGTAAATGATTTTAACTATTTAGGAACTGTTTTTAATTATACGGGAAGTTTTGCATTAAATCAACAACAACTGGTCGGTAAAGCTTTGAAATCAATGAATGTTTTATTAGTTAAATGTCAAAAATATAAAATGAAACCTAAAATTCTTTGTCAACTTTTTGATTCTTTTGTCGGATCAGTACTAAATTATTCAAGTGAAATATGGGGGTTTACAAAATCAAAAGAAATCGAAAGAATTCACCTTAAATTTTGTAAGAAAATTCTTTTTGTTAAAATGTCGACTCCTAATGTTGCAGTTTATGGTGAATTGGGTCGATATCCTTTGTATATTTCGAGATATATTAGAATATTAAAATTTTGGCTTAAACTTAACAGTACAGATAATATAATTTTGAAAACTGTATATAACATGTCATATAATGATTGTATAAATGGTAAAAAGAATTGGGTCTCAAATGTAAAAAAATTATTGTGTGAAAATGGATATAATTATGTTTTTGATAATCCTCAATTTGTTAAAGAAAAGCCGTTTTTAAGTATTTTTAGACAGCAGTTAATAGATTGTTTCTTGCAAGGTTGGCATAGTAATAAGTCAGGTAGCACAATGTTAAACCTTTATCACCATCTTAAAGAAAAATTTGAATATGAAAGGTATCTTGATCTATTACCTTTTGATTTAAGAACCTATTTAGTAAAACTAAGAGTGTCAGCTCATTCATTACGGGTACAAACAAATAGGTATGGAATTAATAGATTACCCAGAAATGAACGAGTATGTCTTTTCTGTGATACAAGAGACATCGATGACGAATTCCACTTTGTATTTAAATGTCCATGTTTTAATGATATACGACGGTTATATATTGATCGATATTATTATATCAGACCAAATATGCATAAACTTATCGAATTGTTAAATTGCAGGGAAAAAGATACTCTTGTTAAACTTTGTAAATTTA